ATTTTATTGTTGTTGTTGTTGCAGGGCAGTGAGGAAAATATGAGCTATAGGTGATATCACGCGCTGCCTTTCTCCGTACTGCGCATCTTTTTTTTTCAGTTCGTCGTCGCCCCCCTTCAGTAATATCCTCGGATCCGTGCGAGTGTTGACCTGAGTTTGTGGTTTTTGAGACGACATGAGGGCATCTTCGTTGGCGATTTGATACAGGACAAGAAAGCACGAAAAGGTATGTACTTTTCGTATTCTTTATGAATAAAAAATATGCAACATATCTTCTCACGTATAAGTTTCACTCACTTATTCGCGTATGCTTGGCTGATTCCCCTGATGGCGGCTGAGGACATTCGAGATTTTTTATCATGAATGATTTTATTCCAGGTCAATCGGGATTCGGGAGTATTCTTTTTTGCCTTTAAAAAAATATTCATTGATATTTCATAGTTAGTATATTACAGTACTTAAAAGCTGCATACTTTCGGTGCTGCATATAATTTTGAACGACGATTTTCGGGATATTCTCAAGTCCGGTGGGAGAAAGCAGCAGGAAATCTATGTATATGCAGGTTTTTATTCAAAAAAAAATGTACAGACAAAGTGATTCCTGCTCTTTTTGACCACGTCAGTCGAACTAATCGCAAAAAGAGTTTTTTTTTTATATGACGTGTTGACTGGAAGAACTTTTTTGAAGATCTGATTTTTTCTCAAGTGAATCGCTAAGACGAATAGGGTGTTATGCCTATACGAGTTCCCGAATATTATCTTCTATTCATAAACATTTTCGGAAGATACAAAATTTGAACATGCATTTGAATACATGATGTCCACTTCTCCGCAAAGAATTTTCAATATGGACCTTTTTAGGAATCGCAATGCATATAGAAGAATATAAATCAACATTTTTCTTGAAGAACGGTGAAACGAAGCTTATATTTTCATTTTTTAAACTCGAAGAAACTAATGTTCAAAAATATGTCAACATGTTAATCTTCTTGCACTGTTTTCCTTATCACGTAGATTGACATTTTTGTGTGAGTATGGGCTGAAACCGATTTAAGTGCGTTTGAACGATCTGAGATTTCGTCGCGAACTTTATTTTTTAATTTATTGGAGATTTAGAAGTTGCAGCATATCTTCGGATAGAAATCATCATAATTTTTTTTGCAGAAAACGTTGCTGCTTCCATGATGATTTCATCGACCAATGACGGTGTAATCTTTTTCGGGCGTGGATATCCTTCATTTAAATCTTGTTGCTCAACTACCAAACACGACAGTTCATCCTTGCAATTGTTTGAACTGTTTTAAAAACGTGATTTTCAGATATTCCTTCAATTTTTGCGCATGAATCTCACTTTTGAAAGACTAATATCTTCAGACGTATACTACAGGTAGTAAAAAGTATACCGGTAAAGTACCAGGGTGTTCCAGACTTTTACAACTTCCTTTTGGATACGTTTACCTCTCGTTGGACGCAAAACTCTGTTACCATGGGAAACATGTTAGTAGAAATACCGTAATATACCAAGCAGAATCCAGAATGGAACCCACTTATTCTGCAATACCATCTCAGCTAGGTCAGACGTTTGTACGACTCAATATATGCTTGGCAATATGGTTAGCTATCCAAGGGTCCTTTGGATGATAAAAAAAATTCATTTGGGATTTCTCCCATGCAAAAACACTATATTTATTCAATTTTCATTCTCAGGCATCTTATGCAATACAATACTAGAGGTCATTATAGGATATACTTTTCAAGCGGAGAACTACGTAGAAATTTTCCAGATGGAGGAACAGCGCTGCAGCAATGCATGAATGTTTAAATATTTCGGTTGAATAACTCACATTTGTTCATTTTTTTAAAGCATGGACTGTAAAAAACAAAGTTACAAGAATATCCACAAAACAGCACTTCACTTCATTTTTCAAGAATTTAATGCGTATGTCGAAGGAAAATTTGGTTTACTCGCGTTCTGTACTTCAATGTTTGGAAAGAATGCATTCAGCTCTTTTATTTTTAATTTTATCGCAGTTCTTCCAACATACATCTGTTAAACTGAATTTATTACTGTATATATTTTCGGTGCACTCCGCATACTCGTCTATGGCATATGAATCCAATCTAAGACTCCATGAAATTTAAGAGCGACATTACATCCAAGGTGACATACATTTTATGATGCCATCACTTTTAAGAGTCTTTGAAATATTCAGGAGCCAATTTCGTGCTTTTTACATTATATGCTGTGACCTAAATTTTTAATACACGCTGACATTTCTTTGTGCTAGTGATATAATTGTGTATGATGCGCGTTAAATGTGGTGCAGTACCAATGTGTATCGGGGAGTACACTTTGAATTAAAAACTTTGCTAACTAACATCATGCGATCATTTTCATTTCAAGATACAGTAGTTTCCGCTTCATCACAGAATTTTTAATATTTTCATGACCGAAATCTCCTCAAACCCCTATGTTCCACAAAGAAAATATTTCCTTATTATATCACCGTACCTCGGGAAGTTTAAAACTTTTTAAATGTTGAATTAAATTTGATAAATCATGAGTTGGGAAACTGTCTTGAATGGGACGTAAAATTTTAAAAACTTTAAAGTATGGGTTCGGACATGAGTTTCTTTTAGCGATGCTGCATTCCGAGAAAATCATTCTAATTGTCTTCTCTCATCATTTCTTTGATGAAAAAAAAAATTAGGAAAAGTTTCGCGTGCATGAGTTTGGAAATTTCACAAGAAACCTCGAAGAAATATGCAAAGCATGGTACTTGAAACTCCGTCGACAGTTATATAGTGATCATGACTGACAATTGAAGAGCAACGGTATTCACTAATTTGATCAAAACTTAATCATGAAACAAACATATCGGAAACCCACGGAGGATAATTTCATTATAAAGGATTCTCAAATTATTAACCGCAAATATAGTCATTGGAATCGAGAAGGTTGGGAACACAACTTTTTCAAACCTGCAGAAAATGTTGTTTATGATAACGCCTGCATTATTGTGTGCTATTTTTGTGTGGATGTAATTTTCCCTCGCTGAATTTTTTCTCCATTCACATTCATGAAATAAATTAATTTCATACAGAGAGATACGACAATAACAACTCTAGAATTCAAGTGATGAACCATTTATTCCCACCAGTTATTTATTTCCATTTTGAGACAAGTAAAAAAGTAGCATCGCGGCTGCCTCGCTCTCCACGTGGCTCTGGCAGATGATCAACACGTACTCGTGAGTGTGAAGCAGGTTTTAAATCTTGAGCCACGACCGAATTTTTGCTGGTTCTTTTTAATTTATGTATGCGGAGTTTTCTTTATATTGTCATGCACTATAACCATGTTCGCGTTTTGTTATCTCTTTCACAAAAAAAAATTGTTTACGAAGAAAAAGAGCTTGAAAAACATGTTTCTTCATATACATTGTTTGAAAAGTATTCAATTAGATAAAATGAAACTGGAATGTAAGGAGAAAAGCGACCTGATGGTCACGAGAAGAATTGGTATCTCATGTTTTTTTATTCTAAAATTTCTGCAAGGCAGACATGTTTGAATAATTATAAAAGTGCTATGGATTCCTACTTAAAAATATTTTTGCATAAAAATTAATCGCAAATTTTCGGGAATTGAAAAGCTGTTTTAGGAAGTAAATGTTTTCTGTTCGTGAAAACATTTACTTCCTAAAACAGCTGTCAAAAGGACATTTCTGAACACGATTTATACAAGTTTCGTTGGGATAGGTTTATTGCCTCCAATGAGCAATTCGAATAAAACAAAGCTTATGATACAAAGCTGGACTGTAGACAATGAATTATTACAATTATCGCCCATCGTTCCAAAAAAGATGCAATTTTAAGATCCATTCCGTTTTTGAAATAAATGCTCAGTCGTGGAAACCCTGCATTATATAGTTTTAAACTGTGCCTTCTAGAATATAAAAATAATGTAGTACTGTATAACGTAAAATTGTGGAAAGTACTGTACATCAAAAACTTTCATTGAGAATTTAAAAGTAATCAAGAGAAACCTGCATTTTCAGTTGATTTTCAGCGAAATGACGATCCAGTTTTTCTTTCCAACTGTAAATGCCTGACATCATCTGCGAGAATTTCAACAACAAAAAAACCATTCCCTAAATCACTAGCTGCTGGTCTGACCAGTTCTTTCAACGATTTGGTTGCATGATGAAAATTTTGAATATTTGGAATTTCATAGCCGCCTCTAAATTCTATAGAAAACCTCGATAAGACGCCAACCGCCATCCGCCAGTATTAGTCATGAAACAAAAGTGCTGTTTCCTGTTAGTTTTTCCTTTGTTACAAAGCCAACATTGTTATGGAATTGTAATTTCTGTGAAGGATCTTGTATTTGTAAGAATAAAAATAATAATAATGATCATTTTTCTAAAAATTTGAACAATATATTGACCTAATCTTAAAATTTGAATAAATTGATGCAGCAAAATGAAATTTCTGAAATAGTGATCAATTGATCACAGCAATTATCTTTGGAAGATTACTGAAGTTTCTAGAAAACCTGTATCTCTATGACTTTTGGGAGTAAAATCAAGTATTATTTATATAATAATTTAAAATGAAATATATTCAATAAACCGCCAACCCCTTTAAACCGCCGAAATTGCTCTGGACAAATGGTGGCGTCTTATCGGAGGGTTCCACTTTAGTAAACCAACTGTACTACTGTATACACATCGTGCAAATTTGCTTCGAACAGATGGAGATGAACACGATGAACCAGCACCCGGCCGGGCTGAATGGGACCCAGCCCGGGGCCAGCCGCGGCGCCGTGGACACGGCCGCCGTGGACCATGGCCAGGGCCAGCACAGCCGGGTTGTGGTGGAACGAGAGGCGGAACCGCCGGCAGAGTACAACGACGAACGTGGCGGCTGGTCCAACAAGTTCGACTTCATCCTTTCCATGGTCGGACTCTGCATCGGGCTCGGCAACGTCTGGCGATTCCCGTACTTGTGCTACAAAAACGGCGGGGGTAATGTCGGCATGATGCTCATCAAACGAACGACCGACGTCGTCGATGACGAACCCCAACTTTTGAACCCATTTCCCTGATTATCATGAACTAGCCAAATCCCGTATTATAATTTAGACGACGTTACATACTAAATTTAAATAACCCGAACCCTGGAAATATACCGCATTCTCGTGCTTGGATAGCAACAACAACAATTATTGTACGAGGGGTTACACGGTTCCGCGCGGATCAGCTTTTTATCGCTGCTATTATGGGGAAGCTTCAAAATTTAACAAGTGAACGTTTCTAAGCCTGTTTCAACACATGGATCAAAAGGGCTGAGAAGTGTGTACAAATCGCAGTGGTGACATCGAGAAGGTGTCTGCCTAAACCTCTTGGAACTAGTGCACATGAGAAAAATGTTTTTAAAAATCCATCCCTGGTATTCACTATTCAGTCATTTCAAGTCTCCGCTGAAACGGGTCCATGCGGAAACGTGTAACCCCTCATATTCAGATCGAAATGTACACTGTGGAGTGTAAACCCAAGATGCGGACATAATTGGTGCTCTTGTCCTTATGTCGCAACGTCCGCATGTCGAATCAATTTTTCCTACAGACTTCCAAAATGGGAACTTATTCGATTGATTCTCCAGTTCATCGAAAATTAGGAATAAATCCTCCAAAAATCAAAAGCTGTAAAATATGGTTATAAACTTGAAAATACAGAATATAACTGTGAAGAAGAAAACCACACATAATCTGATCTTCCGGCATCAAAAGGACCCAAAAAAAAAGTGCAAGGCTTGCTGTAGTGGATTTTTTTGCTTAAAATTTGCCCAAAAACCTGTACCCGCGAAATACCCGCAACGAAGTTTTTCGTGTGTTTAAAATCTATTTTTTTTTACACAATAATAATTAGAAATGAAAGAATATTATTTTTGAACGAAAGACCATAAAAACATTCAAAGAGGACTGCAGAATTTCCTATCCATTTTTGACTCATGTCTAAATGTTGACTCACACAACTGTGTTTTCATGATATTGTTGCTTAAAATGTATACTGTATCTGCATCCCACATGCATCCCGATTTTCTGACTAAATTTTCCAGAAAACTTCTGAGCATGTGGTAATTGGGTAAACACGGATATATCTATCAGTTGGGTAACATGCGGCCGATACATGGGCATATCAAATTTCCCTTGAAAAAAGATGAAAAATGAGATAAATTCTCAAGCGAGGATGTTCAGTAATGCGAAAAAAAACAATTTACGATCGTGTCGTCAAGGTATTTTCCATAAACATATGAATGATTGATTACCGTATTTTGCTGGAAGAAAGCATGCGATTAAAAAATATAATTGAAATACCAATAGCTCATTTCAACGTTTCATGCTTCAAAAATTTGTTTTGTGTTTTACAGAGTTTTTCTTTCGGCTAAAAATTTTTCCCCCAGTATTTTCTCCCACTAAAAATCTCGCGTAATATTTTGAGAGAACTTAAAATTTTTTCCGAAGTAAACTTTATGTCGCCAATTATTATGCTGATCACGTTAGATTCTCGGGAATATTTCACGAATGCTCTTATTACATAATACTGAAATTGAGAATTTTTCATCATTCACAGGAGCCTTTTTAGTACCCTACACAATTGGAGTAATCGTCTGCGGAATCCCCATGTACCTGCTGGAGGTGTGTCTGGGCCAGTATTTAGGAATCGGGGGCTTAGGCGTTTGGAAACTGTGCCCAGGCTTTAAAGGTAGGTCATGCCCTATTTAAAAATATCGTCTCAAAAATTTGCCCGAGACCAATTAATGCTTCGCCTCACTTAGGTGTCGGACTGGGTGCCGCGATGATGGCCGTTTGGTTAGACATCTACTATATCGTCATGCTTTCGTGGGCCTTGTTCTACTTGGTGCAGTCCTTCAGCGCGAGTGAGTGTCGCAATTTTTCGTGTTTCTACGAAAATATTCAGCTTTTAAACTTAAATACCCCCCTCCCCAGTACCCGATTTGGTTCGGGGTTGGCAACATGCATCGTTTGACACGCAAACAAGTAAATAATCAGATTCCAGTCAATGTTTTTCATGAGAAAAAAAAGAGATGCAGTTTTCCGTATAGTAGTTTATGTCGTCGCACGAAAAATGTATAAAAATAATAATAAGGAAGATAAACCGGGAAAATTATAGCATAATCAGAAAACGTTACGCTGTTTTCATTTTTAGATGCATTAAATAAAATATATTCTGCTGACACTTTTCAACAATAATCAGCATTTTCAGTGGTTTCTCACATGCGAATTCAGAAAAATGACGATTCAGAGATTACTTCCTTGTGTAAATGCCCGAGATATTCTGATAAAATGCCAATTACAGGTCTGACTAATTGTGGCGAGAATTTGTTCAAATGCTAATAATTATTTTTGATTGATTGCTTGTTGGTTGACAATCACTTTTGATATTTGGAATGTCACAGCAGCTTCAAAATGCAGCATTTATTTCAAGAATCCTTTGACGTTCAATTCAAAATTCCTTCACTACTACTTTCACCGTTTGTCAAGAATGAATGAGTTCCATTTAAGCTTGAGCAGTATATTTGAGGGATATTTACGTGCTGTACTGGCTTCAAGCAGATTTTTAATTCCAATTTCAAAAATAAACAAGCCAAAACGAAAGGAAAATGCGGTCCAAGTACAGACGAAATCTACAAAATTTCCCAAAAGAAAGTTCACAAATTATTTGAAACGGAGAATAAGGGGCTTATGTTCCAGAGTGATGATTTAAAATCCGCTCATGTGCTGCCAGTGCGTTTCGAGCATATTTTTTGCGTTTTCATACAGATTGAATTAACTCGAGTTTTGGTTAAATTGCTGAGACTGCGTATACAGTATATTACAGTACTTTGAAAATTGCTTAAGTAGGCCATTCAAAATATTTCAAGAGCTTTTTTACGGGGAAGTGTAGTCAGTACAAGTCATAAACAAAGTGATCGAATTTACTAATACTGTAATATGAAGGAGGGTTTACTTTTAAAAAAATGAATGCTGATAGAATTTAATGCAATTTCTTAAAAGTTGGCTCTGGAGAAAGAAACTAACGATTTTTGAGGATGATACGGGGAGAATTATACACCTTGTTTGCGTGTCGTCATCACAATCCGCAATTTCACGTTTTGGAAGGATAAAATGGGAGTGTTTTAATCAGAAGAATCTGATTTTTTGGTTATTCTAATGTTTGGATTCCGCATGTGAATATTAGCATTGCCCTGGGGGTCTTGCAATAATCCATGGAACACCGACATGTGCTTGAGCTCAAAGGAGAGGAAGTCGGTGTGTTTCAAGACCGAGGACACGAACCAAATGTTTTGCACCGTCAATAACTTGACATTGCCCGCGGCCAACTTCTCCGACTCCGTGAAGGAGTATTGGAAGTGAGGCCACGAACCCGTTTCGAATCTTGACCCAAGAAGAAGGTCGATACTAAATCCTCTTTGTTCTCCGACATTCCCGCAGTCGTCGAGTTCTGCAAATCAGCTCTGGAGTTGAGGAACCGGGACCTATTGTGTGGGAGCTGGCCATCTGCTTGGCTGTTATCTGGGTCTTAGTGTACTTTTGTATTTGGAAGGGAGTCAAATGGACCGGAAAGGTCAGTACTCCCCCCCACAGGAAGATTCGTCCATTTTTCTGAGCCATTGAACTCGATATTCCCCAATATTGTATCAAGAAAGAATAAGTTTACAGTAATAAACAATCCAAAATTGAAACACCAATGTAATGTGGTAAATACCGTACATTTCGAGTCCCACCTTTCATTTTATTTATGCATCAAAATTCTCGCGAAATTTATGATCATTTTCATTCTAAGTAAGACTCTGAGCTTTGAAAGTACTGATACAAACCTCGTCAAGGTACGGTTAAATTTGTCAAATGGTTCCTCGAAAACTTGAAAGTGAAAGTCAAGCCATTAAGAATATTTTTAGTGCTCGAGTCATGAAAAATAAATCGTGTTGAAAGGGGCTGGGGCTACATGCAATATCAATACAGTAATAAAATTCAGAGTTTTATGTCTTTTTATACCAATGGATATGCTTTGGTTTTCATGGCAGTTTTTTTGCATCTCAAACATGGGAAGCATAGATTACATTATATAGAGACTTTAAACTTACATCTGTGATTATGCCTTCGGGTCAATCAAGATTCAAAAATTTGAAATCCTTCTTAACATGCAGAAAATGATGCGGTTTTTGTCTTACTCTTTCGAATATTCTCCTGCTTCTTTCAGAGGATTATCCACAATCTTTCCGATGATTTGGATACATACGGACTTTGTTTACGTACTGATCCTTTTTTCTAAAATGTTCTCAGGTTGTGTGGTTCACATCGCTCTTTCCCTACGTGATCATGTTCATCTTGTTCATCCGTGGTGTGACCCTGGAAGGTGCTTCGGAAGGAATCAAGTTCTACCTCACACCGGATTTCTCAAAATTGGCTCACTCGCAGGTAAGCTCGAGTGACCTTCGTCCAAAATCTCTGGAATTTCCCAACCCTGGTAGCTGTTTTTTTTTTTTTTTCTTCGGTGCAAGGTCATCGCCCGGTAATTGAACTCGGCCATAAGCTTTGAACATAACGTTACGCCGCGGGGGGAAAACATCTTGTAAAACAACAATTGTCAGCCGAGGGGAGGGGAACCAAAAATAAAAAGAAAATAGATCACGAAGCGCGTTTCGTCGAGCAGAAAGCAGTAGCAAAGCGAAGCCGCCGCCGTTGTCGGCTCATTTGTCCGCATATAAGACAGAACCAGCAGACTGGCTGTCGTCTCTTGTTGAGACGCAGTCATAAATTCCGGGGAGGCAAAAAACTAGTAAAAATAAATAAATAAAATAAAATAAAAGCGAACAGAAGCGGCGTGGAATCGCTTTTGACAACCATAACAAACAGAACCCCGCACAGCATCCCTGGAATATTCTGCGATGAATGTCAGTATGATGATTTACAGTGTTCAGAATTCGAAGATACCTGCTATAGGGGAAAATCGAAAAAAAATCGTCGTTTTCTTCCGAAAACAGGCATGAAATTGGCCAGGGAAATTAAAGATTTACTGCAGAAGCATTACTGCTTATTACTGATCAAAATTGAACTGCATTTAACTGCATCCTTCACGTGTTTCCAACGACCGCAAGTAGCTTGACTTGAAGGTTTGTTTCATTAGCTGGATTTCCCATGAATTTTAATCATACTGTATATAGATTGTTCCAACAACAAAAAAATACTCATGACCTCAGCGGATCAGCAAACGTTTTTTGCCGGTCCGCGGTAAATTTTTCCAGGTTAATGCATTTTTGAAAAGTAGCGATGAAGGATGTTACAGCTATTATTTTTATCTCAAATTTTGGCAAGACAATGGCAGTTGAAATTACCTCATAAAAATGCATCTTGGCTTTTCTCCTTTAATACTTCAGAATTTTTTTTTATCTGATTCAATAATAAATTGAGTCTGAAAAACCTTTCTTCAAGCCCACCTTTCCATTTTTTTTAAACATTCTGCTATAGCTGCTTCAATGGTTCTTGGCTTAATTTTTGCAACAAAAAAATAGCAGAAGCTTTTAAAATACCTGCTATTAAAGCTGTTTTTCAAGCAAAACTTTTTTAAGCATGTACAAATTTTATGAAAATTTGCTGGTGTTCGGAAAAATTCATGAACCTTTGCTGGTCCACAGAAAAAAGTTTGGAAATTTGCCAGTCCGTGGGACCAAAAAGTTTGGGAAACTTTGTATTAGACTCTTAATAAAAAGAATAATCATCTTTTTTGCTCAACTTCCGTAAGAAAGCTTACTGTACACAACTATGGAAAGTATTCCAACCGCGTTATCTCAATATGTTGTCAACTTTTTTACATTTGATTTTGAAATTAGAAAAGTGTGTAGATTTATGAAAACGTGTTAGTTCACGTAATTTAAAAATAATTTTACCCTTGAAAAAGCGGGTTGTATGTTTAAGCCATTGAACAAACTTGTAAGCATCGAATGCATTTATTCTGCTCTATTTAAAGCATGGGACTGCTGGATTGTTTCTTTTCACAAAATTCGATTTCTTCACAGCAGTTTCCATCTCAGTCCCCTCAAACATACCATGAGTCCATGCATATTTACATAAGCACCATTGGCTTATCATCCATTCACTCTCTTTCCGTATAAAATCCATTAAAAACCCTCTATGTGTTACGCCATGGCCTGAACGAAATGTTTTCCTGGGCTGTATTTTTAATTATCTCTTGGCCAATAATCAAGGTACGTGTATCGATTATAAGGGCGCATGTTATAAGGAAAATTTTCTACATTTCTTCTGACGAACACAACTTTTGAAATTAAATCTTCCGAAGTTCAAATTAACAAATCATTTCTAATGGTTTCAGTTCAAGGCGAAGGATGTGGTATTTTCATTTGTGTTGTTAGTGTTTAAGTACTAACTGTTCGAGACTTAGTTGATAAAGCATGTATATAAGTTTAAAAAAAGCCAATTCTCTGATTCTGATGAAATTTAATTCAATGAAGATGAGTCTTCAGTCCGAAAGGCCAGTGTTTTCATTTTCCAGGCATAAATTGAGGTACATTCAAGCCTATAAATGTGGTTTGAGGAATTTATTTTTGTCTCGTGAAAAAAAATCGAAGAATGCGCGGGAAACGTGCTGATATTAACAGTCGAACCTCTCCAAGTCGAATTTCAAGCGACCAGCAAAAATTCAAGTTGGGGAAACAAGCATTTTTCTTCTAGGAATGATGGAAGAATTTCAAGGCATTGTCAGTAATGGTGATATTCTGGGCCTTAAATTTCATTTTAAATTAGTTGGCAGGATTATGCTGAACTTGGAGGCAAAGGTTAATTTGCACAATTGGTCTTTCACTTCTTTTAAAAATTAATTGTTACTTTTTTGTTGCTTTTCTTTTTCCTGTGTCAAGAAAATATTCGGCAAAAAGAGCTCTGCAAATTTGAAATACAGAGGTTTGAGAGGAAAAGCCTTCAGAAGTTGGAGAGAGATTTTTATTGCATTGTTCCGTTTAAGGAAATTCAGACTGGGACTTTTTAAAAAAATCGCCTTCGGGCGGTTTGAGTTATCGAGGTTCAACTTTTATCAGGATGGACGGTCCTCGTGCTGTAGGTAAGATGCTGTTCAGCCTTTCAGTCGCTCTTTCCGGTGAAAATCCCCTTTATTCCCGTCTGCCTGTCCTCTCTATTCGTTATATACTGTACAGTATTCGCAACTCAGCGGGGAAAAGAGAAGCACACAGGAAGAAAAAAAAAACAAGGTAAAGAAAGAAACTGGGTCTCGCCGCTGAAAAACACCGCGTTGACATCACCAGAAGCACACATGCTCGTATCATGGCGTACGAACACCGCTCCCCGCTACCAATCGATCAGCTTCCTGCCCCGCGGAAAACCCCCAACATTTCGGCGACTCCCGAGGAGGATTCGTGAAGGGTGGAAGATGGGTTTCCTTTCTCGAGTTCCTCTTCAAAGGCGACCCCCGTATTTTCCCCCCACCGAGGACGGGAACTGCGTTCGCAATTTCCGGGCACCAGAGAGACGTGCAGGGATCGAAGCGATCAGATTTCGGGGATTTCGCGAGGAAATGCCTTAATATTTCCACACACACACACACACTCTACACATGGGAAGGATGGGAAGCGGGGAATATGTAGGTGCGAGGAGAAGCAGGCAGGAATTTATTCCCTCAAAACTCGGAATGGTCTCTTCCGCTTCTTGGACTCCCCGATGGGGTTCCACGGAGAAACGGGAAATAGGCAGATATTTCGAAGTTTCCGGGATACCCGCTGCCTTCCTGGCGAAATTTGCAAATTGCGTCTCTATACAGTAGCTCCTTCGTTTCCCTCCCCCCCTTTTTTTTTGCTATTATCCTTGCGATTGTTTTTCATTATGAGAGTTTTTCCTGTCGTCATTTTGCAGGTGTGGATCGACGCGATAACGCAGATTTTCTTCTCATACGGTTTGGCTCTCGGAACTTTGATCGCTTTGGGAAGCTACAACAAGTTCCATAACAATGTTTACCAGTGAGTATAATGTCTTCCATATCAGCTGACTTGAAATTTTTTTTAAACCATACACAGCATCATCAAAGACTGCAGTGCAAAAATGTGTGCCTAAGACAATGGAAATACTATATTGGCATAACGCAGTTGTTGCTTTTTCCCTTTAAAAATCCTTTTTCGAACATAAAACGATGAAACCTGTTAGGCAACATTCAACCGATGAACAGATCATACACAACCGAGCAACATTCGGTTAAATTGGCATGGAGTAATTACAGCTTTCCGAAGGAATATATAAATTGGATTTTGTTCGATCGACTTGGGTTGAATGCTGCCATGTTCGGAGAATTACTTACTGCTTCTTCTTCGTCTTTATAATTAGAAGATAGAACCATTTTATGGACGATTGAACGTTTTTGTTTGCCAAAAAAAAAGTAGAAGGTAGGAATCATGAACAGCGGGTATTCTTTTACTGCCGCGTCCTGATTTTGATTAATTATTCACACACTGCAATATTAAATTGTTTCAAGTCGGGATCCGACCATTAATTGCCTGAATTTATCTGGAATATTAGATGTTTACGCAATTTTTCCGAGGAAGGTTAACTTGCTAACCCGAAGATTTAGGTCAGGTTACGCCATGGAATAAACCCAAGTTTTTTGGCCTCCCTGGTTATAGGATGCTGGAGGCGAAGTTCCCCTTTCTAGCTGCATTCAAGTTGAGTTCATAGCTGCTATATTTGGCCAAAAAGTTATGAACAAAATATTGCATTCCAAAGTAGTTTGATGGGCTAAAGCAGTGTTGTTGCCCAGCGTATGAATTCCTTCAAACTATCCGAAGACTTCAATAACTGTGTGTTGATAATCTTAGTGATAGCCAGCAGGAAACTTCTAAATAACCCCGCAAGAAAATTCATGGCTAGTCAACCGGGAATAAAACTGATCAACCCAATACCAGCCCTGTGGGCCCCATTTGGGTCTTTTTGCTTCCCAGTAAAAATAAAAACTGAGGAAAATTATTTAAATTTGTGATCATGCTCTGAGTTGACGTTATCCACAAGTAGGCACTTCACTTGACCATTTTTCTACTGGTTTTCAATGTACAGAAATATGTTTTCTGAATCTAAGTCACAGATTCCATTAGAAAATTGAAGCATGATTTTTGGAATGCAATAAAAGTATTTTTTACGGCAGCTAATACAAAAATTTGGTTTTCCTTAAAGTCTGCTGGCTATATCTAAATGCATTGAGATATTTTTTCATCTTCTGGCATTTTGATTGATCACAACAGATGAAAAACCCTGATACCCCAAATGGGGCTCATGGCAGATAGCATTTTACGGGAAATCTATATTTTTTTAATATGCCTGAAAATTTTATCTTGATGGTGTAAAATGAGTGAAATCAAGCATAAGTTGGTGCATAGGAACTTTGGCTGTTATTGGGTTATGGTATATTTAAAATCTTACAAAATCGATAAATAGAAGTGGACCTACCGATTTTAGTACTGCGCAGTATTTTATAATTACTTCGTCGGTTGAAGAATGTACAGTACATTTAAATTGTGATGGTTGTATAACGCTTTCTCTTGATGTAATGGTGCACATCCGGGTTTCGATGATTTCCATAGTCAGAAATAAAAATCGAACACCTCTCTAACGTACAGAGGCTATCGATTGAGTCTCTGCGATTTCAAAATACTGGACGAAATTTTGATGGGGTTAATTTCGCTTCTGAATAGCTTATAAAAGTCGTGCAATTGTTGCATTAGGTAATCGTCAGTATTTTATAGCTTATTTTTATGGACGCCTGGTATATTTTGGTATCAGAGAGGCAAGCATTTATTTGCGGCAATTTCTTCATGGAATAAATGATGCCACGGACGATTGGAGTCGTAGAAGCGTTTTTATTGGCACATTCGTTCGACGAATGTGTGTCGTTCAAGTTTTGATGCTCGATGATGTTGGGCGCACAATTTTGCGAGTTCAGGGAGGACAGACAAGCCCGGAAACCCCAAGGAAACGACGAACATGTGTCACGAAGCTCGTTCTCATGCACGAGCATCTGGCATGAAACGACGAGCAAGAAGGAAATAACTGAGAGAAATTCTATTTTTTTTTGCGTCTCATTACCAAAAAAAGGAAAGCCAACATTTTCCCTTTCTTCATTATTATTTTTTTTTCTCATGCGTTATATGTGAGAAGAGATTGTATAATGAAGACGAACGCAGAGGATCTTTTCCCGCAGCGTCGACGTCTGTGTCGACGTTTTGCGTGCATCATCAGTAGCAGCAAACTGGTAAATTGTGTGATATGGGTGCAGCTGTGTGCTTCCGACGATGACGGCGACAAAAGGCGACGAATGGCGTGCCACTCACTCACTCATCATTCTCAACAATTGTTTGTTGTCTGTTGTTCACAGGCAAGCCATCTTCGTCTGCTGCGTGAATTCCGCGACGAGTTTCTTTGCCGGCTTCGTCGTGTTCTCGGTCATCGGATTCATGGCGCACGAGCAGAACCGACCCGTGTCCGAGGTCGCCGAAGGAGGTGAGGTCACTTGTCTGCTCCCTGGGGGAAAAAAGACGCACATGGAATGGTTCCTTATTTGCTTCAAACATGGGGCCTAGGATCGACTGTTTGCCCTTTTATATGCCTATACTTTACGTGTCTCGGAAATGATAATTCAGGAGATGTTGACTAATTGTAAAAAACTGTATCCTTAAATCAAGAAAGCATTCGAAGGCGATTATGCGCATTCCAACGAAATTTTCCAAGTCGAATTTCGGTAGAAGCTAAGGTCACCTGTCTTTCCCTGGGGAAAAAATCGCGCATGGAATGGTTCCTTTGCTTCAAACAAAAGGCCTATTGATTGTATGCCCTTTTATATGCCTACTTCTCGTGTCTCGGAAATGATAATTCAGGAGATGTTGACTAATTATAAAAAAATGTATCCTTAAATCAAGAACGCATTCGAAGGCGATGATCCGCATTCCAGCGAAATTTTCCAAGTGAAATTTCGGAAGGAGGTGAATTCACTTGTCTTTCTGTAGGGAAAAACGCACATGGAATGGTTCCTTTGCTCCAAACATGGGGCCTAAGATTGTATTCCATTTGATATTCCTGCTTTTCCGGGTCTCGGACGGTATAATTCAGGAGATGTTGACTAATTATGTAAAACTTTATTCTTAAATCAAGAAAGCATTTAAAGGCGATCACGCGCATTCCAACGAAATTTTCGAAATAAAATTACGGAAGGAGGTGAGGTCACTTGTCTTGATAAGATATATTGTATGCCATTTTATATGCCTGCTGTCTCGCGGATATGAAAATTCAGGATATGTTGACTAATTATGCACAGCATTATTTTTGGAGATCAAGAAAGCATTTAAAAATGATTATGCGCGTACCAACAGAACAAAAACCTCAAGTGCAATACTGAAACAATAAGCTTTATAACACATCTTCCTCCTTTTCAATTCATCGTCATGCATTATGTTATGTGATTTTTCCAGCGTTCCCCTTGCTATTATCAGAATTTTGCTTTAAATTATTCTTCAATATATCTTTGAGTGGGAAAATTCAAAACCATAGCTGCCTGTTGCCGGTATTGAAAAAATACGGCATTGCTCGGAAGAAAATCGCAGAATAACACTTCAATCAGAAAGTTGCGCAGAGATTATTTTATGACAGGGGAAACAGTTATTCCTGTTGGGAAACTTGGCTACTTTTGCTTGATGTTCTGATATTGCCACAACACATTTTGAGTTTTGATAATTCAATGGCTGAATTTCTGAAAATACGCCTAAATTATTACATCATTGTAATCTCGTTATAATGAATTTTTCCCGTAACACACTTTTCGAGGATCCGTGAATGTTTTTTGTAAAGAGTTTCCACGCGTATTTACTTCTTTGCGAGAGATTCGTTAATTTCCGTAAGAATCAAGAGGTATTTTAGTTTTCTACGTTTTTCATATCTCGGATATGATTACCTACGAAATCTTTTGAAAGCGTGTTAACTCGGGTGAAATCTTATTGTTTCAAAATCAAGGAGGGATTTGCAATAATTTAAGTCGCTTCATTGAGAGGGATTTCTTTACTTTCTGTATAAGGGAGAGTTTTAGATTTTATGGCCCGATTTCAGTGCGAAGCCGAAATAGGCGAGGCGATGTTGGCAATTTTGTAATATTATGTGCAGATCAAGAAAGCATTCGGCGATGCTTGAATTCACGTCTTTTAATCGATTTCCTTGATCTGCGTAAGAGGGATTTTCGTTTTGATGTCTTTGACGGCCGCTTCTCAGTACACTTTCACAGAGAATCTAGAATTCTTTCAGGTTTTTGGAGAGGAAAGATTATATATCAACGATCAGTTTGCAATTTAAAAAAAATATTTGTCGTGAGATATAAATTTGACTGGACGAAATCAAGAAAATCAACGAGTTTAGTTTGTTTGCACAATTGAGACATAGGAATAAAATCAGAATTATTCTATCCGAGTCGGAGTCATGCATGGCACTTTTTTGTTTTTAAAGTGGTAGAATATTCAGAAAACATTGTTAAAATAATCTACTCACTCCAAAATTTTCGTTTTCGTGCCTCTATGAACCGAATAACCCTCAATGAATCCGAATATTTATGCAATCTGGTATCGGAGTATTATTTCGAAATCATGCAGTGTGTTCGGAGGAACTTTCCAGTAAACTTGTCTGTTTGAGGTGGAGATGTCTTTTTTTGCAAAGCTTTAAAATCATTTCCAAAGTTCAATGATTTTCTTCGCTGTTTTTTACTGTTACGCAAGAGCTGATTTCAAGAAGATATATTTGTGTTCATCATTCCGAGAAATTCTGAACTATTCAAAATCGTAATCTTACCAGATGGCAGTTGGTAGATCTTGTGTTTCGTAATGAATAACTGGAATTTTCGTCCTTCGTGCGGCGATTTCAGTTTTCGACAATAAAACGTAATGATCAGCCATATTCTTGTAACCTTGTTCAGCAGCTTTAAAGAATGCCACAATCCATATTATTTAACTATACAGTACTACAAAAAGGAACTGCGACAAAAAAGGAAGCGTTATTGTCGAGAATGAAGTTCATTGTTCTGAGAAATTCTGACCTATTCAAAATCATAATTTTACCAGATGGCAGGTCGCAGATCTTGTGTTTCGAAATGAATAATTTGAATTTTCCACTTTCGTGTGGCAATTTCAGCTTTCGACAAAAGGTCATGATCAGCTTGGTTCAGCAGCTTTAAAAAAAGGCAAGAATGCATATAGAGGCAAGGGAAAAGCTTTTTTTTTTTGAAAACGCAGGGGAAAACTTCGACAAAAAAAGAAGCGTTGAAGAATGAAGTTCATTGTTCTGAGGAATTCTCACCTATTCAAAATCAGAATTATACCAGATGGCAGTTGGCAAATCTCGTTTCCGAAATGAATAACTTGAATTTTCGACTTTCGTGTGGCGATTTCAATTTTCGACAAAAACTCAATGATCAGCCATATTATTTTAACTTTGTTTAGCAGCTTCAAAAAAGGTTTAAAAATGCATATATAGAGGCAAAGCAAGGGGGGGGGGAAGAAGGAAACAACATTTTCTTTGGAAAAAGCAGGGGAAAACTGCGACAAAAAAAGAAGCATTGTCAAGAATGCAGTTCATTGTTCTGATGAATCCCCAAATATTTAAAATCAGAATTATACCAGATGACCGTTGGCAAATCTCGTTTCCGAAATGAATAACTTGAGTTTTAGACTTTCGTGTGGTGATTTCAATTTTCGACGAAAACTCAATGATCAGCCATATTCTTTTTACTATGTTCAGCAGCTTCAAAAAAGGCTAAAAAAATGGTTATAGAGGCAAAGCAAGGGGGAAAAAATAAGGAAACAACATTTTATTTTTAAAATCTGGGGGAGGGGGGGGGGTATGCCAAAAAAAAAAAAGCATTGTCGAGAACGAAACCAAACGATTATTGGATGAAGAACGGCTGAGGCTGGAAAGCAACGCGATGCGGAGAATAAGCTGCGTACGCATGCGATCGACCGGCTTCTCAGTTTTTTTTTTCTTCTTTTTCCTTTTTTGCAGCAAAGCGATTTCCGGCTCTAGCTTCGTTCCATTCTTTACTCGTCTCTAGTCTATTTTTGTTACCTTTTTCACGTATTTACTTTTCCCGTTCGTTCTTTGTTGGAGCCTGTGACATTTGGACAGGCAGGCCTTCGATGCGCTCGGTGCTTGTGAAACGCTGCCACTGTCACATTTCCGGTGAACATTTTCAGGAGAAGAAACTACCGATATTTCTTCTGAGGCCGGATTTTCTTCGAACAACTGATCTCCCTAGGATTTAAATTATTATTACGAAAATTCCATGCAGATCGACGTATACCCACATCTTGGGATACGGCTACGTCGATCTGCAAGATCCATTTGAGATTTCAATTGAAATCTCAAATTGATCCTCGCGCTTATACATGAAGCATATATGAGCATTGAAAATATTTTTGGTAGCATGAGGAAATAGCGTGTGATCAGAATTTCAAATAAAGTGACGACGCCGCGGTTCCATTAAAATGTAAGATTCAAATTGAATCAAGACTTACAGTCGACATTATACCAAAAGCGACGACTTGAATCATAGCAGCTGAGAAAATAAAACAGCTACTTAGGAAATTACCGGATATACTGAGAACTCCTAAACGTATGTACTGCATTGGAATTTCCTGTAATCCATTCACAAAATGTCTTAAAATTTGGTTATGGACTGCAATCAAAGTAATTCTGTCCTTTGTTCATGAAGTAGGAGAATACCAGTAGAAAAATGTAAACTAAAGTAAATTGCCCGAGGCATAGTATTTTCTGGGCATTAGTGGATCGTCGATTTCTCCTTGATTAATGATTAATTGAGGGAGCTTTCGAAAACCTAAAAATCCAGCACTAATTTTACTGTTCGACGCGGCAGAAAATTTTCGGCCATCCTGAAACGTACTTATGCTCTTGCTGAATTTTAGCAGCATCAAGTGTCTCGATCCTCATCTTCAAAAAATACACTTTTTTTGCTCTGTACTCTGCGGGGAAACCCTCGTCGTGTTTCATAATTTTTCTTTACTAAACGAATTCTTGAAAAACTTACTACGCGGGGAGCTGGAAAGGACAGAAGGAGAAGGGCTTTGAACTTCTCGTCGTGCCACCCCGCACTTGATTTCTTTATTCTTCCCCTGAATGGTTTTGAAATTCATTTCTCCCGTTTTTGCTTCCGACGCGTGCATGTGATATTGTTTCAGGGAAAATGCATACCCAAAAAAAAAACCCAGTCGTCAAGATGGCAGACCCCTTCGGGCCTTTAAAGACAGGGTTGGTACGCTGAGATGCAGACCCACCCCCAGCTCTTCTGCTCTAGACGTATATCGAGGCCTCGGAAAAATATTCCGTCACTTCCCCCGAACAGAGAAACCCGGGCGACCAGAGAATACCGCACTTGTCGACGAACCCCCTCTATAGTGAATACCGAGAACCAGCGAGGCAAAATTACCCCAGGGAAATAAATCAGAAAACTTAGCCGACCGTACTAACGTGGCGGTGAATGCAGGAAGAAAGGGAAGACTATGGGATAGGTAATGAAGGAACTAAGCCGTCTTCTCCGAGACGCGCTGCAAATTCCCTTCCTTCTCCTCCCTTTCCTGTCGTCGTTTCGTCGAGGAAATATATACGAGGGTCTTGACAAAAGTTCATGGAATCATTCAAAAGATATCATACAATTGAGCTGAAAACAATTTATTCGATTAGGGAAAACATATTCTTTGCCCCCCAAAAAAATCAGTCCTGTTTTACCATTTATTTTAATATTTTACAAAATTCACCGTAGCAGAGTTTTGCTCTCGATCCAATCAAGAGATTCATTAAAAATATGTCATACAATTGAGCTGAAAACAATTTATTCGATTAGGGAAAACATATTCTTTGGCCTCAAAAATAAATCAGTCCTGTTTGACGATTTGTTTTAATGTTTTGCAGAATTCACCGTAGCAGAGTTTTGCTCTCCATCGCACTCAAAAGATGAGGCGCCCTTCCTGCAGATTTTTTATGTTTTAGCCCAGCTTTCCTGCAGATTTTTTATATTGTAGCCCTTAGAAGGAATTCCACTTTGATTTTAAAAATTCTGAGAGGAAAGCTGGGCTACAACATAAAATATCTGCAGGAAGGGCGCCTCATCTTTTGAGTGGAGAGCAAAACTCTGCTACGGTGAATTTTGCAAAACATTAAAACAAATTGTCAAACAGGACTGATTTTTTTTGGGGCCAAATAATATGTTTTCCCTTATCGATAAATTGTTTTCAGCTCAATTGTATGACATCTTTTGAATGATTGCATGAACTTTTGTCAAGACCCTCGCATACTGTATATATACGTATATACAGTATATGTATATATATATATATTATATATGTATCATATACACGTCCTTCGGGAAGGTTTATATACTATCCTGCGTTTCTCGAATAATGGCAAAAGGCTCTCGGCTACAAACGGGCCCATGTGCAACGAGGAATGGGAGAGGATCACTCCGGAATTGCTGTCGCATATGTTCTCCTCCTTCCGTCCTGCTTCCGTTCTTCGCCTATCTGATTTTTCCCCTGTTTTCCTTGGCTACATTTAATAATGGCATGCCGGGTCTAATCACTTCAATTAAAATCTCCTCAGATCCCTCCGGAAGGGGAAAACAGTCCGGGCTGGCTAATGTGAATCCCACTATGTCTTCGCCGCCCTAATTTGATTTCAAACGAGGTTTACAGTTGTTCATGGCGCGAAAGGGGAATGAATATTTTACGATAAACCGAAAAACGTTTCTCTAGATGAATTCTCTGATTTTCGGGGTTTATTTGCAATCACGCAAACTTGTCACACATCCGGCCCTGGAACTTCCCAAGCGAACTTTTAAAGATATACAGTACGAGTATATTGTTAAAATAGAGACATTAGTTTTACAGTATCATTTTTACTATTTGAGTATGCTAGAGTATTTGTTATGAACCTTCTTGGGCCTGCGGACCAGCAAATTTTGTATTCCATGAAATTGTTTGCAGACCAGCAAATTTCGAAAAAAAAAATCTGTGTACAGGCAAAATTTCATAAAATGTTTGCATACCCAAAAAAGTGTTGTTTGGCGGACTTTATGACAGTTTTCAAAAAGTTCATGCTCTTTTGAAAAAATAAAGTTAAGAAACAATGATGCAGCTTTGGTGGAATGTCTTTTTAAAAATGGGCTTGAAGAAAGGTTGCTTAGAATGAAAAAATGAGAATAATTTCTTTTAGCATGTGAAAATTTGTCTGCAGTGTTATTTCGAGAAAAGCTAACTTTTACTTTTCATCAGATAATTTCAACTGGCATTGTTTTTTCTCAAATTTCAGATAAAGTTGAAAGACTTCATCGCTGCTTTTAATGAATTTAATATGCTCAAGAAAATTTCCCGCGGGACAGCAAACAACTTCTGCGGGCCAGCTCCGGTCTGCAGATCACGGGTTGGGAAACACTGTGCTACAGAGCATATATTTAGTTCTAATCCACTTGGTAATCCAAGTTATTTTGCCACAAATCCGCCTGGAAAATAAATCAAAGGAACATCAGTCACAACCTCGAACAAATCTAACAAATATCCTTGATTTAAGAATCAGCAGGCTCTTTTATTGTGAATGTTTTTCGCTCAGATTTAGCTTCAGTTCTCGCTTTCTCAAGAAAAAATTTTTCATAAAACTCCAATAATGCGGGCTAATGACCAAGTGGGTTTGATTGGATGATAAAACATCACGGATAATTGGATATAGTGTCGGAACATTTCCTTGAAGATTTGACCAACAAAAAAAGCAATTATAACTGACTTGCGAAACTTGACGCATAGTTTGGATAATTAATCAATCTGATTTAAATAACACGAATCAAAGTGAGTATGCGAGGTATGCAGACTAATTTGCTCTCGTTTAATGAACCAATCAAATTAAAAGAACGGTAAGTTGTTAATCCTATCCACAGCTTAATTGAAGCTCACAGAATGGAAAATCTTTTCTCATACTGTATTTGAATAGGATGTGTAGCCTTTTAAGTTTCTCATACTGTATGTGACGGAATAATTTGGTACCTTAGCGTACCACAATACTTGCACACCGACTGCTGTTAGATGGCAGCCATATTAATTGCATAGGAGAGATTCTGTGTGAACTTAACCCACACTGTACTTGAATAAGATGCGTATCCTTTTTAACATGTTTTTATTAACTCGCTTTCTTGTCTGTTTGTTTGTCCGGATCAAATTTTGCAACTCNATAGATGCACACCACGTTTAAGGTTATTTTTTGATTTTTGAAAATGTGGTTTCTTAGATTAATTTTTTTAATCTACTAAATTTTTTTGGGCTTTTTAGTCTTACTTGAAAAACGTGGTTTTTTAGATTAATTTTTTAATCTACTATAATTATTCTGGAAATGTTTTAGTCTGTGAAAGCCTTTGAAACGGTGTTTCTTTTTTTTTTTACGATGTCTGAAACAGAATTTTGGGATGTTCTCAGGTGCTGGTCTGGTGTTCATGGTGTACCCGTCGGCTTTGCTGGAGATGCCGTACGCGCCATTGTGGGGCGCCTTGTTCTTCCTCATGTTCATCATGATTGGACTCGACAGCCAGGTAATGAGAAGTGCACTTCGGCGGGGAGCAACAAACGCTCCAACAATTCGTCGCCTCTCGACCTAAATCGTCCGACGAATTGTCCGCTTCTCAACCCGTTCTTTATCATTATTATTATTTTTTATTCAATTTTATTTATTTATATTTTTTTCGCGTGTCGCACCCTTAGTTCTGTACCCTGGAGGGCTTCATCACTGCCATTGTGGACGAGTACCCGACTTATCTCAGGCCTCGAAAAGAGTTGTTCATCGCCGCCGTGTCGTTCCTGTCGTTCCTCGTCGGACTCTCATGCATTACTCAGGTGGAGGACCGCATTCCGTTGTCTGTCGTCTGACGAGCCACGATTCACCAGTCCTTCATTCCTTTTCCCCATACATATGTAATCATGCGGGAACTGACTTGTAACATCCTTTCGACCCTCACTACAAGGGTCAATGGATAGCATTTTTGGCAGCACCAAAACCTTCTCGGCGACACACCATGACAACAGCTTTTGGTATCTATTTAGTGAAATACAGTCAACCCTTGATTTAGTGTCACGCTTGGATAGTGGCACAAATTTCCTTGGAACAGATCTTCCTTGGTTGTGTTCTTTAGGGAAATTCCGAATTAGTGCTAAAGCCACGAAAAATGTGTCCGTACTGGATGAAAATTAGGAAAAAATCGGAGAAATTAAGGCATATATCCAGTGATTCCATCAGGTTATTAATGAGAGTCTTGCCTCCATGCTCAAAATATTTTTAAAATTTGTATTTTTTGATTTACATATAATTGGGTGGCTTTATTTGAATGTCATCCTCCACAGCAAAAAGCATCTAAATATCTGGGATAGTCTTAGAAAAATTAAATATCCCTCCACCTGATCTTGGTAATTGCGTGCTTTCATTGAAAGGTTGATACAAAACTGCGAGAGATAGGTCTTCTTTTTTACTTGATGCAATTTTGGCAAAAATCTAATGTAAATAAATTTAAATTCAGTGAACACAGTTAATTTTTTTACTTCTTCTTTTTCACTTGATGCAATTTGGGAAAAAATCTAATGTATTCTGCACTGTAAAATAAATTTAAATTCAGTGAAAACAGTTAATTTTACCCTTAATTTATTTTTGTGTCTTCTTTTTATGAAAGAGATTTGATGGCCTAGCAATTCTGCGACAACAAAAAACCATTTTACTTATAGAATTAGCCGTCAAATAAATTTTCGTTTGAAACAATGCGCACTAAAACTGGGCTTGACTGTAATTCATTTTCAAATCCTACGTAATGTTAGGTAGGATTTTAGCCAATGCGGAGAATCTCAATAATCCGTCTCAACGGCCGGCGCCTTGACGCCAGAAAATGAATATTCAAGATAATAAATCGTTACCTTCGTGTAATGTTTTATGAAAAGGAAAATTTTTCATTAATAATGGCGTGAACATCAAAATATCCTCATTAACTGTCCTTTGAAAATAATGATTAATTGCTGTCTCCTCCTAATAAATCATGTACAGTACAGTACAGTATTTTTAATCCTAGAATTTCTTTGATTTTCTGATACTTTTCGTGTCGGTTTTAATTCCACGTGAATTTCCGTAAACATTTCAAGGATATCTGAGCAAAAAAAAACCTTTTCAATGTATAATTAAATCGCGAGCTTTTTCTTTGTACTGATTCGTAATCAAGAATCAGTTAATCACATAAACAGTTGATTGAAGACCGGAATGATTTTGGACTGTAATACGCATATACACTAAGAAGATTGAGATCACGTACAGTATTTCATTGGGTTGGTCCTCGACTGTGCTGATATAGAGTTCCCCTGGCCCTTTTAAGTAAAGCGATGTTATTTCAGGATAGATTTAAATTTATATTCAGATAATCCCTTATTCGGTTTATCTACGTCTGAAAATGCAAGTGCCTGGTCTCAGAATGAAGGCATCGGGGATACAACAAATGAACGGATGGACCGCTTTTTCTCTTCACTGCCATATACACTTCATATTCATTCAAGTACTGTACAGTATCAGCCACAAACACGCTTGAATGAAGCATCCTTGAATTTTGAATACTGCATGCTTAAATAGCTGTAAAGAGACACGCGAAAAAAACGGGGGGTTTCAAATAAATTCAAGGCAAACTTCAGAACCAGCAGTCGGGAATATAACTNAATAATTATAGTAGATTAAAAAATTAATCTAAAAAACCACGTTTTTCAAGTAAGACTAAAAAGCACCAAAAAATTTAGTAGATTAAAAAATTAATCTAAAAAACCACATTTTCAAAAAGCAAAAAATAACCTTAAACGTGGTGCGCATGGAGATTGTTGGGAAGAAGTGAAATACAAATGAAATAGATGCACACCACGTTTAAGGTTATTTTTTGATTTTTGAAAATGTGGTTTCTTAGATTAATTTTTTTAATCTACTAAATTTTTTTGGGCTTTTTAGTCTTACTTGAAAAACGTGGTTTTTTAGATTAATTTTTTAATCTACTATAATTATTCTGGAAATGTTTTAGTCTGTGAAAGCCTTTGAAACGGTGTTTCTTTTTTTTTTTTACGATGTCTGAAACAGAATTTTGGGATGTTCTCAGGTGCTGGTCTGGTGTTCATGGTGTACCCGTCGGCTTTGCTGGAGATGCCGTACGCGCCATTGTGGGGCGCCTTGTTCTTCCTCATGTTCATCATGATTGGACTCGACAGCCAGGTAATGAGAAGTGCACTTCGGCGGGGAGCAACAAACGCTCCAACAATTCGTCGCCTCTCGACCTAAATCGTCCGACGAATTGTCCGCTTCTCAACCCGTTCTTTATCATTATTATTATTTTTTATTCAATTTTATTTATTTATATTTTTTTCGCGTGTCGCACCCTTAGTTCTGTACCCTGGAGGGCTTCATCACTGCCATTGTGGACGAGTACCCGACTTATCTCAGGCCTCGAAAAGAGTTGTTCATCGCCGCCGTGTCGTTCCTGTCGTTCCTCGTCGGACTCTCATGCATTACTCAGGTGGAGGACCGCATTCCGTTGTCTGTCGTCTGACGAGCCACGATTCACCAGTCCTTCATTCCTTTTCCCCATACATATGTAATCATGCGGGAACTGACTTGTAACATCCTTTCGACCCTCACAAGGGTCAATGGATAGCATTTTTGGCAGCACCAAAACCTTCTCGGCGACGCACCATAACAACACCTTTTGGTATCTATTTAGTGAAATACAGTCAACCCTTGATTTAGTGTCACCCTTGGATAGTGGCACAAATTTCCTTGGAACAGATCTCTCTCGGTTGTGTTCTTTAGGGAAACCCCGATTTAGTGCTAACTCACTTAGTGCCACGAAAAATGTGTCCGTACTGGATGAAAATTAGGGCAAAATCAGAGAAATTAAGGCATATATCCAGTGATTTCATCAGGTTATTAATGAGAGTCATGCCTCTATGCTCAAAATAATTTTAAAATTTGTATTTTTTTATTTACATATAATTGGGTGGCTTTATTTGAATGTCATCCTCCACAGCAAAAAGCATCTAAATATCTGGGACAGTCTTGGAAAAATTAAAAATCTTTCCACCTGATCTTGGTAATTGCGTGCTTTCATTGAAAGGTTGATACAAAACTGCGAGAGATAGGTCTTCTTTTTTACTTGATGCAATGTTGGCAAAAATCTAATGTAAATAAATTTAAATTCAGTGAACACAGTTAATTTTTTTACTTCTTCTTTTTCACTTGATGCAATTTGGGAAAAAATCTAATGTATTCTGCACTATAAAATAAATTTAAATTCAGTAAAAACAGTTAATTTTACCATTAATTTATTTTTTGTGGCTTCTTTTTATAAAAGAGATTTGATGGCCTAGCAATTCTGCGACAACAAAAAACCATTTTACTTATAGAATTAGCCGTCAAATAAATTTTCGTTTGAAACAATGCGCACTAAAACTGGGCTTGACTGTAATTCATTTTCAAATCCTACGCAATGTAAGGTAGGATTTTAGCCAATGCGGAGAATCTCAATAATCCGTCTCAACGGCCGGCGCCTTGACCCCAGAAAATGAATATTCAAGATAATAAATCGTTACCTTCGTGTAATGTTTTATGAAAAGGAAAATTTGTCATTAATAATGGCGTGAAGATCAAAATATTCTCATTAACTGTCCTTTGAAAATAATGATTAATTGCTGTCTCCTCCTAATAAATCATGTACAGTATTTTTAATCCTAGAATTTCTTTGATTTTCTGATACTTTTAAGTCGGTTTTAATTCCACGTGAATTTCCGTAAACATTTCAAGGATGTCTGACCAAAAGAAACCTTTTTAATGTATAATTAAATCGCGAGCTTTTTCTTCGTACTGATTCGTAATCAAGAATCAGCTGATCACATACACAGTTGATTGAAGACGGAAATGATTTTGGACTGTAATACGCATATATACAATAAGAAGATTGAGATCACGTAAAGTATTTCATTGGGTTGGTCCTCGACTGTGCTGATAGAGTTTCCCCGACCCTTTTAAGTGAAGCGATTTTATTTCAGGATAGATTTAAATTTATATTCAGATAATCCCTTATTCGGATTATCTACGTCTGAAAAATCAAGTGCCTGGTCTCAGAATGAAGGCATCGGGGATACAACAAATGAACGGATGGACCGCTTTTTCTCTTCACTGCCATATACACTTCATATTCATTCAAGTACTGTACAGTATCAGCCACAAACACGCTTGAATGAAGCATCCTTGAATTTTGAATACTGCATGCTTAAATAGCTGTAAAGAGACACGCGAAAAAAACGGGGGGTTTCAAATAAATTCAAGGCAAACTTCAGTACCAGCAGTCGGGAATATAACTACAGTATCTTGCACAGCTTCAGCCGTGAGCTTCAACTCTCACAATTGATGATTCTCGATGAAAGTGAGATATCGTCGTGAGCTGTTCGAATTGCGCATTCAAATCGCGGGAACGAAGTAAGAGGAAGACAAGCAGAACGGTGCCTTCGAGTACCGAATAATGCGAGTTGTTCTCGGTTTTAATGCTCCCACCCCCGTGTTCCCGTAGGGAGGAATGTACGTGTTGACTTTGATGGACGACTACGGAGCTTCGGGCATTTGCCTGTTATTCATCGTCGTCACCGAGTGCGTCTCGATATCCTGGGCCTACGGAGTCGACAGGTTCTTCGACAACGTCAAGGAAATGATTGGCCACTACCCGATCGTGTTCGTCAAATACTGTTGGGCCTACTTTTGCCCCGCGATTTGTCTGGTCAGTCCTATTCCATTACGAAACGAAAAAAAGAAAAAAAATCCAACAGATTGGCCCAGCAAAGTTCTGGAAAAATTTTAAAATACGAACAATATGTCGATAAAAAAAGCTTCATTGGATATTTCGCTTAATTTCTGCGTAAACTCTATTACCTATGTGTGCTCCGGGAATTTTTCAATTTCATATTTTATATATTATTTATTGGCTATAATAGACACATGCAATCCATAGACCAAAATTTCTGGCTAATTTTGCTTAATTTGTATTTAAATGGAAGCTCTAATGCATATTTGCTCCTTAAGTATGTCGCAATCTCACATTATATCTCTTTGGAAAACAGTAATGCCCACAGGAAATCCATGGACCAAAATTTTGGTTACTGTCGAGGGTTTCCATATTTTTTTTTTCTTTGGCATGGCCACCAAATTAGGTTAAATAAGAAATATGCATATTTCCAGAATTACCGGTAAGTTGGCGCAATGCATGGAGTTTGAATGTCAATCGATTAGAGCTAATTTTAATCAGTGTATGATGACCCCTGGATGACAGGCCACAATAAAACTGTTCTCAAAAGTTGACTACTTTGCTCCAATTGGATCCACAAAAACAAAAACACTTCTTGTCTTTCCTATTTGACCAGATTTTAATAAAAAGCAAGAAAGCATGGTACGAAAAATCCCAGAATATTTCAACTTCTTTTTCGTGTGTATTCCGGATTGTCATAGTACAATATAACCGCAGTAAAAAATGAAAAATTATTAAAAACAAATTTTTATCACAATTTCTTTTAGCCAAGCTTTTGCTATTTGCTCGTTGAGTTACTGCAGTCCGAATTTTTTTTTACTGTTGAAACTTTCCTAATAAAGGTACTGTAGTATTATATATTGAAATGCACAAAAGCCGACGAACTAAAATCTAAAATTGTATGAAATGATTGCAAATGAATTGAGATTAATTTCAGATCAAATTTGAATGTTCATCTTCTGTGGTTGCAAATGCGATATTTGTCACACGAAAAATTTGTACAAATAAATGCAGTACCTCCAAGAATTTTTTGTCTTACATATATAGTCAGCGCTCTTGACAGTTCGAGAATTCGGAATGCGCAATATTAATTTTATATTTTTTACTTTTCTCGAGCGGAGACGTATTTAAATGCTGTCGAGTTGTGAGCAGTGGCATAATGAAGATGCACAGCGTTTCTTTCGTACTTGTGGACTTTTTACGATGAGTCATCTTTGCATTTTCAGAGCGTGCTGGTGTTTCGCTTTGCGACGTGGGTGCCGACGAAGTACCAGAATTATGAATATCCTTGGTGGGGACACGTCATTGGGTGGATTATGGCTTTGTCGTCCATCCTAATGATTCCGGGTTACTTCATCTACAAGTGGTTCACTCTGCCGAGTGCGCCGTTCATGGAGGTCAGTTTTATCTTCTCTTCCAGTACCAGCAGGATTCTCGGGTAAGCAGCTCAGTGTAAGAAACCAAGTGGAAGGAAACTTGACTCGATTAGGGAATGTGTCTTCATGCTTTGTTCTCTTTGTAAAAAAAAACACGCTTCGAGCATTAATCCATGGAAGAAATATGCAGATTACGAAGCAACGAGGAAGAAGTTTACATCGGCTGACCCTCTCTTTCCAAAAGGATATTCAGGATACCAAAAATTGATTATATATGCCAAGAATATCGTTGCTGTGAGGCTCCCTATTACAAATTGTCTGCTGATAGCAGGGAAAAATGCGTTTTTTTTACCGTATAGAGAATATTGCTGTACACGAAATCGTTGTTGGCATAGTTCATCTTGATCAATTTGCTATTGTGTTCCCCACTTTCTTCAAACAACATACAGTATATATTTGAGTCCTCAGGCACACACAGAAAATTTCCTTGATAACTTGTACAAATCACTTCTGGAATCGCGGAATACAGTACGCCTGATCAACTGCTGAATATATATATTATAATTTCCTTAGTTGAATACGTGGACTTGTCCGAAAGTAATACAGCAATCTTCCATTGGAAAATGAGAAAAAAAAGAAGAGCAGAAGAATACATTTTACTGCGAAATCTTGGCGTTTTAGAATACTGCATATTCCCCCAGGAATTTTTCGCTCAATCGTTATGCAAATGACAGCTGAACAGCTTCCGTTCCAGTGAAAGCTGATATGCTTCTTATTTATGCGGATAGGAAAAGGCTTCCGTCCTAGTTAAATCATTTGGATAAGGCGTAAACACGTACATTAATTTTTTGATTTCATTTGGCAAACATACGAATATTCGTGATCCGATAATCTCCCAGGATTTTTAAAATATTGCATCAAGTGACTTTCCAAAATTAATTTCGTAAAATACGTTTCCTGTTCCATCCGTGTTGCAATTTGGAATATACTTCTTTCGTCATAATTCTGCATTATTCAATTGAATCTGATTTTCGGCCTTCGTCAGCAAATGCAATGGTATTAATTTCCTTCAGAATTCTGTCCTGAACAGACAGTTAAATCGAATAATGAATGATTTTCTCTCGGAATCACGCTTAAAATGAAGTTTAATGCCTACTGTTGGAATTGAATTTCAAATTTTCGTGCGATTAAAAAAAATATTAACTGCACGTTTCAAGGATTAAAAACTTCAGGCAGCAAGTAGAGTTATGTAGGAGAGAATTCAATTATGGGATGGAAATTTGCGATGTACGAGTAAAGAAGTTAAAAACTGAAAATCGTTATTAATTCGAAAGATCAAGCCATTTTCCCAATGTTCACGGGAAGATATTATGAGGGAGTTTCGTAATGAACCAATCTATTTGTGATTAAATACGACGAGTGCCTGATGCCCGTGCCCAGTTCGGAAAAGAAAATTAAAAAATTTTTTTTTCTCAATTCGCATCATAAATCGGATTAGTTTATCCAGTTTGTTTTCGACATATCTTGCACAGATTTTAACGCATTGCTCAACTTTCTTGGTTCTTTAAGCGCAGCATCCCACAATAAAGGCCGATTATTCCGCTTATTTTTTCTTCAGACTAAAAATTTACTTTTTTATGCCTTCTTTCCTATTTTTGAGCCATTAATAATTTATGGCCATTACTGGAGGAGTTTGGGGATTTGTAAACATCCTTGAATGCACCAAAACCGCTTTGAAAATCGTAGAAGAATGGAAACTTTTAAATCACTCACTTATAATTTCGCTTAATACCGTAGATTTGATTCGTCCCAGATTCCGAAAGGTCTATCATGGACTGATTTTCATCCATTTGATTAGCCTGATCCATCCCAGATTTATTTGAAATTTTCTCAATAATTTCGAAATGCGTTACAAAGATTTGTGAACTACGGAAAAAATACTCGGAGACAAGGAAAGCAATATTCAGCACTATAACAAATGAAATTTTTTTTTCATTTCACCCCTGAAAAATTACGCGAATTCTTCGCAGCGGCTTCAACTATGCTTTCCAACGATCGCCGTTCATGCGGTATATTACATTACAAAGCAAAGTAAAATGTAATGCTGTACCGGTGACAGCAGCTCGATTTCATTATGCAAGAGTCAATTTTGCGAGGCGTTCAATATCCGCGGTTACACTGTAGAGTGTACTGTAGAGTTATGCTGCATTCTTCAAAAAATGATTATGATGAAAATTATGATTCTTGCCTCAAATGAACGGTTTTTATTTTGCCTGTGTCTGTGTGTGCAGAAATTCAAGAGCCTGGTGCGTCCCGACGTGGACGTGAGCAAGTTGAAGAACATGCGTGGCGTCCATCCGCCAGCAGTGACTCAATCGGTGCCGATTCCGCAGCTCCAACACCCGCCGAGGACGATCGGCCAAGCGACCGCCGTTTGATGAACTCGCTTTGGTCCACTAATTTTTTTGTTCTTCTTTTCTTGCTTCTACTCGGCCGCGATTTTTACACCAGCCTGAACTCGATCATCAGCTTCTGAAGCTTGACCAGTCACAATTATCCCGCTTTGAAAAAAAAAAAAAACGGGCCCGCAAAACAAAAACCAAAAAAACGTTCGCTTCACGCGCATAATGCGTCGTAGTTCGTTTCTCAAGTCCTCCTTTTTGGGCGAGACGATTTCGCAGTACCCCGTCGTTCTCGAGCCAAAAAAAAAACAAAAACGAGTTTTCTTTTCGGGTCATTTTTCGTCGGTGTGGGAAATGTTTTTCTTTTCTTCCTCATGATGTTTCGAAGACATTTAGCAAAGCTTGAAAAGTTTTGCGACGGCGCGAACAGTTCGTTTGATTTCCGCCTTTTTGGGTGCGCGTGGTTTGCCTGTGAGCAGCAACTTAGTCTTCCAATCGGCTGCCAAGTATAAGCAGAGGAGTCTTTTTCTATAGCCAAGAGAGAAAGAAAAGAACGAATGCAAGGCACACGAAAAAAGAGAGAGAGAGAGAGATTGTGTTTGTTGTGCCAAAGCACGGATTTGTTCGTCAATCCATGTCCCACCGGGCAAAACGTGCTATTTCTTTATACTTGCACTCGCTGGAACCGGTTTGAAACCGCGCTAAGCGAAGCGTATCTTTGCACCCTGTTCTTCTTTTTCTTTCGAATCGAAACTTGAACGAAAAGACCCCATTTGGGATTTTTTTTTTTCTATGAGTTATGCGTGCAAACGTAGGGAGTTGAAACCGAGTCTTCCATTTTTTGCCGTGCTTTTTCGACCCAGTTTTCATCCTTCCGAGGAAATTGCAACGAAGTGCGGCTTACGACTCAGAGTCTTCCAAGCCATTGAGAGAAAGAGAGACGTATGCAAGTTATTTGTTGCGAAACGCGAACCAGTTTTTTTTTTTTTTTTTTTTTTACTTGTTACTCTGGTGAATGTTTATTAGTGCAGGGGATCTGCTACCTATCGACAAACTATTGCATTTTTCAGTGGACCAGCTCTCTGTTGGACAGTGATAGAAAAATATCAGGTGTCTGAAGAATCGATTACACGGAAAAATAGCTCCGGATTATGATCAAAGATAACCGAGTTCGCCTCTTCCAAGAATTTATTCTGTGAAGTCTGAAAATCTGTTTTTTCGGGGATGGGAAACAAATACGAATGCCTGTCGACAATCAGGTCTAATGGCGAACTTTAATTAAATCCCTCAGTTTAAAAATAACTGCCTTTCCCCCGGTTTCTGTTTTCTAGTGAGACTGCATAGAACGTGTTTGAGACGGGAAATTGGCTTTAAAATAGCTTCTTTAAGTTGAATGGGTTATTCGAAGGTTTAGAATTGCAGTTCGGCGATTATTGCTTATGAATGAACCTTCAGTCTTCAGTTCGGTTCCAAAAGAAATGCCTGTCGGCAATAAGGTCTAGTATAGCGGAGTTAAACTGAAATCCTTCATTCGAAAAAGAAGAAAACTGCTTTCTCCTTTCTTTTTTTCTAGTGTGACTATTTAGAGCGTTTTTGATTAGGAAAATTTACAGGAAAATAGTTTCCTTAAATTGAACGGGGTTGCACGTCAGAGGTTCTGAGATTTAGCCCTGAGATTTTTGCACATGAATGAACCTTCAGGTTCACACAAGATGAAATAGCCGAAACCTGAGCCTTGAGAGGGGAATGACTCTTTTTCTTTCGCAAAATGACTCAGACCGGGATTTCGAAATAGCACCTGTGCCTGAGAAAGCAATCGCCACTGAAGAGTGTAATGTTGGAGGGAGATCGAGCGAAAGATTCGCATAGGTATTGTAGGTATTTTATACAGGATGGATCGGAAGAGAATGACCGCGAGAAAAGGAACTCATTGAAGCGTCATTGTGATGGAATTTTTCTTGGTCGAGAACCCTCTTGGTCCCGTAAAAATTGAGCGACATTCCAGCAAGGAAAAAAAACGAAAATGAGGAAGGTTATAAGACGCCCTGTAGGAAAACTCCACGGCGTGAGCAGTGATCCACTCGGTTTTTTAATTGCCAGAGAATACCTCAAAACAACGTCTTCCACTTTTACCTTTCGGCATATCACGGCCTGAACGGAGTTATTTCTCTGTGTTCTCTCGGCTGAGGAACACTTTCCAGAGGGAGCTTGACTTGTGAGAACGCCCCCCGTTTTTACTTCGAATCTTTTTTTCCCCCCAATTTGCAACGAAAAAAAAGTTCACATTTTTGGCATTCGGCGAGGTTTCATCATTGACTTCGGTTGAAATGACTCACCCGCTTTAGAAAAGTTGATCCAAATCGAAATTATCCATCGTATTGGTCAAGAGGGGTACGTATAAAGAAGCAATTGGGTGTTGTAATCGTATACCTAGGAGTGGGTGATGAGGGTTTGGCTACAGATCGAGTGCGAGGTTTGTTGAAACGTTTTTTTTTTTTCAGTCATTCGTTAGAAAGTTTGCCTGACTATTCACAAAAAAAAATTTCCTGTGCGAGAGAAGGATGAAGGCGTTTGTTTCGGGACTTTGATCGTTTATTGTACAGCGGAAACTTATCGTTACGAAACGAAAAAAAAAAAGTCTTTAGGAAATATTCCCGAAAAGACGCACACTTCATACTGCCCATTTTTTCGGCATTTTTCTTCTCTGCCTCCCTTCGTTTTTGTATGAGACATTGTCGCAGTGTTGTATGTCGCTCTGGTTTCATGATTTTTCCTTTTGTGAAAGTAGTTTATAGAGAAAGGAAATAATCTCATGCATTCGGATCAAGTTCAACCGATGACGAAGTCTTCCAAATCAGCCTCAAACAAGTCAGCTTAGCGACGACAAAGTCGGCGAGAGAGAGAGAGAGAAAAAAAGGGCACCGTTTCCAGACAGCTCAAGCCAGAGTCAACTACTTTCAGACCAGACCGACGAAAGTCCAAAAAGGGGTTAGATGAGAAAGATTTTGCACCTCTAGCGAAGTTGTTTGGCACCTGTTTGAGGGCTGGGGACGGATAATAAAGGTATTTGATCGTGGATTAATCTTGCCGGTCGGTCGATGTCATTTCCGTCGAGGCATTCCGGAAATTTGCTTCGCAGCACGTGTAGAACCGTTAATTAAAAATCGTTGTGCAGAAGAGAGATGCGAGGAGACAGATACACGTTGCTCGAAACGAGTCTCAGAAGGAACACCTGCACATCAGCTGGCAGCATGTCCCACATCATTTGAATGCGTCTATTAATTAATTGGACTCGCCATCGTTTTTCCGGACTCGCGAACCTTAAATAATAAAAAACGTGGCTTTCACGCAAGATTCCTCAGTTATTGAAGAAGCTTAACTAAAACTGGAACATGCCTGCGAAATCTCAGCATCAAGTGGCACATTTCAAATTTTTTTTGCCGTACATACAGTCGAACCTCTCCAAGTTGAATTTCAAGGGACCAGCAAAAAAAATTCGAATTAGGGAGGCTTTGGCTTGAGGAAGTTTTGATTTAAGAAGGTTTCAAGTTAAGGAAACAAACATTTTTGTGGTTGGAAACATAGAATAATTGCAGGAACTTTTATGGTGTTCTGGGCCTTTTTCTGGGATTTAAATCGCCTCTTGAATGAATTTATAGTATGGTGAACTTGGAGGCAGGGGCTCATTTTCCCAATGAGTCTTTTGCTTCCAATTAAACACATCAACTTACTTTTGAAATTGCGTTTCTCTTTGCTTTTTTTTAAATAATAGCCGAAAGACCGCGGAAAATTCAACTCACAGAGGTTAGAGATGAAACACCTTGGAGTTAAAGAGGTTTTCAATGCTTTTTTCTCTAAGGACATCAGACAGAGACTTGAAAAAAAATTTGACTTATGGAGGCTTGAGTTTTTGAGGCTCAAATGTATATTTATTTAGACATTTGAAGAGAGATCAATTGCGCAGAATCTCTTGGGAATCTATACTACTTCAGCATAATCTAATTATTCAAAACGAAATTATCCTGAGTGCCACGACACTACGGATGCAAGAGTCCTGCAAAACATGAAAATTAATATTGGCCAACAACTGCATCAAAGGATTTTTAAAGAACCACGTCCATGCGTTGGTTTATTTCATTCTGCCGAAACCGGAGTCGTCCCTCAGAAAAATACAACATTTACTCGAATTTAGAGACTTTATTCAACCAATTCCAGCGAAGAAAATGTCATCTTTAACCAGTTTTTCCGCAGGAAATTTTTTATGAAGATCGGAAGTACGCTAAATAATTCGCAGAATTAATAAAACTTTTCAGCAGCAGCTCATGTATCATTGAATAAACTTGGATCCTTAGACACACTTTTCGATGACAGCAAAATTAAGATCACATATAAAAAAAAAATTGTTTAGCTCCATCTTTTTTGTGTTCGTTCGAATATACATATCTCCTCTCCAATATATCCGAAGTTTCCCAACTTTCTCGTTACCACATTCATTTGAACGTAAGTCGTGATTGAATTAAAACACACCACAACATTTTCCATTCACAGAAAAGAAAAATAATTGCTTGTGAAAATAAGATGCAAATTTATTGGATTCAATTTATTTTTAATCAGAGAAACCTGCCTATTCTATTCGTGGCTTATTAGCCATCTGCTCGATCTCCCCGAACATTTGAGAAAAAAACCAGAATTTCGACACATCTGACCTCGAACTGCAAATTGGAATGGGGATTTGATATCGGGATTTCAGCCATTATTTTTGTTCCTAACTTGTGTTATTTGCAAGCAAATATGCACTTTATATTCCACTTTAATACACCGTCTTTCCTCGTACGTAAGATGCCGTCGAATGCACAAATTGAATTGGCGTTTCAGTCAGTTTGCACAAAATTTGCGTCATATGGTCGAGTAAGTTCCGCATTCATCATATCAAGTCAATTTTTCAATTTAAAGAAACATTTCAGGAGGACGAGAATCCCATATCTGTTGTACGCCCAAAAATTTGGATATTCCCAGAAAAGTATTTCTATTCGTTATTTGGGTGGTGCCTATTTCGTATTTTGCATTTATTTCAAAGTACTTCTGGTGACTACGTGAATATTAATTATGTCTTCCTTATGTGCTCCAGGGTTGCGTCGCCAAGCAACTAGGCAATATCGCCGTCGCCGCCCTAGTAAGGTCAATTAAGAAAAAATAAGATTTGCGCAAATAAAAATAAAAGAAAAAGGGCGACACAAACTGGAATACTGTACTTGCTAAACGACACTTGTTTGTCTCTTTTTCTTTCGGAGCAGCAACGACAAAGAAGGATGAATGAATTGGAGCAAACGCTGCAATGAGGACGCGCGCATGCGCCGGCATATTTCCCGCGGCCTGAATGACGAAGGTTCTTTTGAGTTTGCTCTCATTATTTTTTTTTTTCTAGCGGCATTAGCATTTTTTGTTCACTTGTATGAATATCAGCAGATGTCGTGTTTTTTTTTCCCCCGACTGCTTCTCGTCGTCTCTCGGCGTATGTGACGAGAGGAAAACTGCCGACAGCGACAGGTTCCGTCCTGAGGTGCGATCGCGTCAAGGTCTGTGTGCCTATACTTGCAGATATTTGAAGTACGGTACAGTATTTAGTCACTTCGAATATTTTTCCACCCTGTTCACAGCAAATAGATGACATTGCCTTGAAAATTATTTACCGTTCTTCACCTGCTGGGTCTACTTGTAACTTTGGTAAGTACTATGTTTCTATGAGTAGTTCCCTCGATTCTGAAGGTCTTTTAATGAGGCATTGTTCGGGGGAGAACCAACTTGATTTCACTGTAAATTCACTCTCGTTTTCGGAAAAAAGCAGCAGAGAAGTAAGACGAATAAAAGTTTCTCATTCAAAATAGTTTGTGAGACTAACTTAAGGGCTTCCTTAACAGAGCCTTTCCCTTTCCATTAACAAAGGGTAAAACCAACGATCGGGAATTGTTTTCCGGTTA